GGAATCCATTATCTGTGAGCCTACTTTAAATTGCTGCAGTGTGTGTTGCACAGATTAGAGCCATTAGAGGCAGCAAACATGCAGATAGATGTGTATTTTCAATTAGCCAAATATTTTCCTCAAGGATATAAAGGTAAATTGATAGACAATATGTCGTGGGATTTTCAAATTAGCCTGCTTTGGGATAAAGTAAGTAAAACGATGAAACCGAGAACGTTCCTCAAAATATTACGTTTGAAATTAGGAAAAGGCATTAATACTTCATTTTAAGATAATCAGGGTTATTTTAATCTGAGGATGATTAAGGTGATGGCAATCTGAAATGTCCTTAGTGGTTAATAGGATTGCCCGTGGAACTAGCCTTCACGAATTCGATACCCATCGGTTCACACTTGGTGAGACTAATGGCTATCTGCTCTATCCAATTCTAGCTAATACAGGATATGACGAAATTTGATATTTTCATCGGGGTGGTTGAGGGTGGGAGGTGAGATATCTACACCCATTGGTTCTCAACCTGTGATGTTTGTAACCATTCACCTTGGTTAATTCTAGGAAGTAGAAGAGATGGTTAAATATGAGCTTCTCGAAAGAGCTGATTCAGGCGCTATGAAGGTTTTTTTCCATCGGCTCGAGAAGCAATCATATTATTTGCTAAGATTTACTAGTCTATAAATAAGAAGCCAGTTAGATCTTCTTAATCTTCCAACTGTTTTTAAATTGTGTTATGAGTATGGTGTATAATTTTACAAAATATACCACTTTGTAGAGAAGCTAACTTAGTGCAATTAAATACTAATATGCATCCACTTGTCCGAATAGTATAATTCTTAACGATTGTTGTAAGTAATTACTAACGGGAATCGGAAAAGTTGGCTAATTATTTAATAATGTCAATGATTTAACTAGGTTTCATTTTAAAGCAATCACATTATGAGGATTAAAGACCATTTCAATAGAATTGTATGCCCTCCGTTCTGTTAAGGTAAAAATAGCGTTTTAGACTATTTTTGATGAAATCGTCAGAGTTACTTGCTAATACTTCAGCGGAACAATGCTTACTAAAAGTAGGGCGATAATATCTGTCAAGATAAGTTGCTTTTGTATTGCTACGCGGATCAAAGAATTAAGGCGACTGCAAGTGCTGTGAACCATGGCTTTGGCGATGGTTGGGAAAATGCTATTGCATATGCTTTTCAAGGTCTTCCTGCAGCTTAGAAGGACTACAGTCAGATTGAAAAGGAGTGCTAGGTTATCGTCTTTGTTGATAGCATATCCACACTTTAAACCTTTGATATAGACTGTCGTAACACAGTGGAAGTCGGTTGGGTTGACTGTTTTCTTACCTAATTTACTAAGAGAGATGTGCTGGAGAGGAAACCATAATTGTAGGTCTGACTAGTAAAGACAATACACAGTGCCTATCATATGATGATATGAGCAAACTTCCAATAACTGCAAGTGTACTAGACCTGTTAATAACCCATCATATTTTGTCCCAGTTGATTCACCCTCAGAGTGTTACGAAGTCATTCCGATAAACTCAACCTGAACCATTTTATTGATCGTTAGTCTTCAATATATTTTTTAACTCGATAAAGGCACAGAACTATCTTTAACATTCTATTTAAACATCTTTGGAGTCATAATATCACCCACGTCTTCTCTTCACTAATATCAACCTCAATAAAGTGATCAGACTGATCTGTTGTTGACGCACCAAAGAGTTCAGTTCAGTTATTACGAAGAAAGGGGAACAACAGAAGAAATTATCAAGATAACCCTTATAAAATATTCGGTAACTTTTCACCCAATGTAAAGCGACCGCAGTCCTTCTGAATCTCTTATGAGAGGAAAAGAATGACACTCCACAACTGTCCACTTCCAAAGTGCCCAACCGTCCCTAGTTTACCTTCGTCCATGGAATGGCTAATAAACTCACAGTAGTTTATGGATGCACATGGCCAGAAGGTATTATCAGGGCCTAGGGAGACAGCTCGATATGTAAAATGGGTCTAAATAGACCAACATGGCAAGCTATTGGAGACAAATCCATTACCAGTAATTAGTAAAATTATAGAAATTATAAATTGGTCCTCTGGATGTCTTCTTGGGTATTTTTGCCTTCCACATCTTCGAAATAATGAAACTCCGCAAAGCGAAAGTCAACGAAATATTTCATTATAACATTCAATTAAATACCCTAAGAGGTTGTTGTGGAACCAACAGCCAAAAGGTTACGACTGTAAATTTTGGCAGAGAGATGATGGACAATATGAAACAGCGTAACAAGGTTATGCGTTTATTAATTTTTTTATTGTTTTTTTTGAAAATTTTGCATGTCAAGTTACCCTGAATTGGGATAGTTAGGTGAACAGAGAAAAGATTGCTAAAAGCCATTTTAATTTTCAATTCGGGGTATTTCTACTGATCGGGAGGCTCCAATGGTTATAAAACATGTCAGCCATATTCCCTCAACGTTTATGTCATAGATCCTTAAGTAAACTTTAATTTCCCTTTGTGGCAAACTGATCTGAAAACTGGGATATCGTACTTGTAGACGACAACATTTCTCAATAAAGTAATGGCCCTTCTGACATTTTATTGCTCCTTGGATTTTTCCACCAATTACCCATTAAAATATCATCAACAGATAATCAAAATCAATTAAAGCAATATTACTCCCTTTTTAACTCACTTTGCTGACTTTTACCCGTTAGGATCCAGATTGTGAGTCACTAGACAAAAGTGATACACTCTTAATTCCTCATATCAACTGAGCATCACATAAACGAACGCCATTCTAAATCTGACAAGATGAAAATCCTTATAGCAAAATAGTAAATCATTCGTTAATCGAAAAAGCAAACGTTAGTCAATGAAAAATTACATATGTTTATGAAGTAGATTATACAGAAAGTGAATACAGTAGGCTCAGTTTGTTGACATCTTGACAGGTTACAGGTAATAGGCTATCAATAATCCACGGTTGCTGTAAGGCAACCTCCTTAAAGCTTTTCAAATCCACTCCTCTGTCATAGTAGAGGTTAAAGACTTTCTCTAAGTATTTGATTGAGTCGCGAATGGGTTGATCGGGATCAATTTCGGGATAAATTGCTGCTATACTGACTTTAAATGAACCACTCAAGAGTCTAGGAAATTCGTAATCCTTCTTAAGTAATCCATCTCGATCAATATCCATGATCTCAAATGCCATTTCAGCTCTTTCTTCAAGACTTCCTCGTAAGTAGATTGATAGCATAATGAGGAAGTTGGTTGGTGAAACTCCTGAAAGTTCTTTCCCTAAATAGGGATGATTTGATTGAGCAGATATTCTTTTCAATCCGCTTAATACATGGTAGTTTGTGATACCCAGTGTGCCCCTCAGAAAATCATCAAATTCCGCCTGGGTCATATGACGAACACGATATTCAGTGATAGTGTAATACACCTGAAGGAGAAGGGCAAGTTCCTTACTATTGAAGTGATTTTTAGGATGCCTTCTTAGTTGAGGAATCAAAGAAGTCATGACTCTCCTAACGCTGGATGGGAATTTGTGTTCCGCCTTGGTCAACTTTGGTGCATACAAGTTGACCCTATCCACTGTTTGCACCAGATTCTTTACCCTTAAGTTCCGACGAATGCGGAAATAGTCTTCACTTGGAAGGGCGAATACTGAAGGCACCACATAATTTATGCTCTTATCCTTCGTACATACAGAAATCGATGAGCATTTCCTCATTCTAGGACCAAACGACTCCTTGTCTCGAAATGAGCCTTTTCTTCGTCCGTCATTCATAATCGTGGTGGTACCTTAAATTTGTCTGTTGTCTACTACTTATCGATCTGAAGCACATGTGAATGTGAAGCTATGAAAATACACGTTACAAGAAAATGAAACTAAAAATTTAAATCATGCTTCATGAATGCTTTAAATTTGTCAAAAACCGTAGTAAATTATTTAAATTGCAAAATATTATAAATCAGATTTTAGATGTAGATTGAGGTACTAGCCTCTGATTCAAGGTCACTTAATAGAAATCAAAATGTCTGCAGAGACCAAGTTTCTTATCATTCTTAATTTGCTCAACCTAAGTTTGGAAACCTGATTTGAGGTTTGAATGGTGGTGGTGGTGCGGTCTAGGCATGGAAATAAACTGAACAGTTGCATTTATATTGTTAGTCTACTAATTCACTATTCACCTTGGACAGGCTAATACTTAAATGGAAAATTTTAATGCTGGTGATAGGATTGGATTAAATCAGTAAAATAAGAATTTACCTCAAATTTCCTAGCCGTTTCACATCCCCAGTATCAATGGTATGAATTTGGCCAGTATTCGTATACATACACGCTGTTGAAACAATAATTTCAACCCTGTCCTACCGATTTCTTTGACCCTGAGTCAATAGTAGTATTGAAATGTCAAGGGGCAGAAACTGACATTTCTATCAATCGAATCTGTGCAGAAAGTTTCCCAATTTTCCTAAGAGCGTACCTCAAAATAGATTCAACCTGTAACTATAATGACTAAGTAGATAGCTGAGTCTGGCTACATTATATGCAGTTCTCTTCTTTTCTTTGGGACCATATGTGTCAAGGTAATCATTCTCTACTTATTGTGGAGCCCACAATGCTGTCAAGGCTGATCAAAGGAATCTCATATGCACAGGAGCACTCTGAAATGCATACGATGAATAAGCCTCTTTTTTAGGTTAGGCCCAAACCATGCAATAGAAGCTTATTACTTTGTGTATCGGTTTGGTTGTCTTGAACGTAGGTTAGGCAATCTTTGAGCCTACTTGTGCTAGAGGACTCTGCTGGAGGTTGTATTTGTCTAATGTTAGTTTGACTCCAAAGGGCTTCCCCGAGGTCTGGAAAAGATGCTGACTCATGTAGTATCCTCTACAGTACCAACCTGTGCCTCTTTTTTTAACCAATGACATAGGTAAATAAAAGTTCTCAGGCAATTGCACATCTTCTCCTTTCACTATTAAAGCAAAACGAAGTCCACCTCATTATATCCAATAACTAGGC